AGAGTATAAATATCCTATAAGTTCCCGAACGGACATATTGCTTGACTTCTATTCGGATAGGTTCATTTGGTAACTCTCCCGAGCACCGAAAAGGGAGAAGAGCTAGAAGATAGTCATTGTTCGACAACAATCTGGCGGACCGGTGAAGAAGATGTAGGTGCTGCTCGCGGGTCTTCCAGTTGGGCTTATGGAGAACAGAGCCCTGCAAACTGGCCGTTGTGAATTACTGGCTCTTAAGAGGTGTTAATGATCCGCGGGTGTCGGAGAGAGAGAGGCGTTGGCAAAGATTGGTCGAAGGTATCTCGTATTTGGCAGTTCTCTATGTTGAGAACCCCGTTCTCGCGCCTTAAAGATAGGATGAGCTAGCTTGCTTTGTCATCTCTCCAAGTTGTTGTTTCACGCACTCTAGCAGATGATGTGAAGACTGAGAAGTTAGCTGACTTGAGACTGCCTTTACCTACAGAGAAGCGACCTCGATATGGTATTAATCTACCAAGTGATCACCGCAATCGTCTTCCGCATATTTTTTTTGGTTGTCGGTAGAGTATGCCGCCTTTCCGTTAAAATATTCGTAAGATTCCAGTCGTCGATTAAGAGGTCAAAGGACAAATGGTACTCATCCTCGATGAACAGAAGAAGCCGCCTGGCTCATCAGTAGCATTTATCCTTGCCAAAGCCACCTAATTCAGACACCAAGGCAGAGGAATATCCAAGGAAGACTAGCTCGGTCTTTGATATCAATCCCTGCGGCTTAGCAGGTCTAGTCTCCCACTGCCCTCGCTACAAGTCCCAACTTCGCCATCGTTAAAATGACCTCGGGTCAGAAGAGACAGCAACATCAATTAACACGCGGGGTCTAGGCAGAAATCCTTTGATGAAAATTAGATGGCTAGCGCAGGACATAACGCGGCTTATAACCGGCCACGGCCGAAATATGAGACTAATTTACGCTTGGAATCTCATCGCTAGCCAAGTGAACATTGGTAACCCATACAACTTGCCAGTTACCTGCCTTCTTGAAGTGCCAGTTACATGAATTGCCACTTGTTTAAACCATGGCCACTGTGGGTTGATGGCAGTGACGAGCATAATTATGAGGCAGACAATTAGACTCGCGCTAAAGCAACAACTCCATCTGTCCCAAGACATGTGCAGGTTTGATAACAGATATCAAACAAAAGTTTACGAGCCCTTAGAGTGAATGAATATTCACTAAGTTGTCTGAAATCCTTTGAGTTGTTGCTGGCTAGGCGTCGTGAAGATGGCGTTGGCTAAAAACAGGTCTACGTGTCTATGTTCTCAGTCCTTGCAAGTGCAAGTTGCCTCATTCATAGTGTTTCTACGTCTGAAGCTTTCGATGCCTCATAGAGACGATGAATACAGTAGTCGGGTATGAAGTGATCAGATGTATACAACTTGTGGCAACCGCAGGGCTTGAAGCTGCAAGCGACAATTGTCGAATGGTCCACCTCAAGTAGGGGCAAAGTGGTATTGTAGTCATGAAATCAATTATTGAGACTCTGGAAACCCCCTGATAACTGGCTTTATCAAGATTTTCCTTGTTATTGCAACGGTTCAGAGTAGTCGTGAGCTTCTCATTGAAGTCATCAACAGACAACCCATGGAAGTCAAACCTCTTTGCCATTGCCTGGCACGTTGTCATGCTTCCTACCAACCCTGCCTTTTCTAAGGTCCAGTTGCCTGTTCCCGTCTATCTATTGTAACCAACTTCAGCTCTCAGTTTCTTTCACGTAAAGTTAGTGCGGCCAAAAAGAGTGGTATCTTGCCTCTCTGAAGGTGTCACTCACGAGAGTTTCAGCATTGTCATCATCCAAGCATCAAACATAGCGAAATTGAAGAGTTTCGAAAGACGAACGGGAAAGGGACAGACGCTACCATTGAGAATCAGTTGCAAGGTTCAACTCCAAAGAGCTAGAGCTTTTCGACGCTGTATGGAGGCGATATCACAATGGAATACATGGAGCAAATGTCAACCAACCACTCTAACGGCGTGGAAAGGTCGACAAGAAGTTTTATTGGACACTTCAGCAGATTTGAGTATATTCGAATTAAGAGCTGCTAAGGTTTGAGTCATTTCTGATCTATCATCGGAAATAGCTTCAAGTCTCATGAAAGAAAAAAACTCTACGTTATGTTTGAACGCTATCGTCGAGTCTATTTTACCTGTGAGCCTGGTTTCCCTTTGGGCATGCCTCGTACAGTTGAAGATTCTTCTGCTACAGCATCCTCTTCATTGTCGACTCAGGGACTCACCTGCGCCTTCACTTTCGTCAGAAGTAATCCTAATAGACGTATGTCTCGTATCTGGCTTACATCAACTCAAGCTAGATGGCAGCGGAGTACCGCTTTTCGGCAAGCACAAACGCCTCGGCGCGATAGATCTCCTCAGCGGCCAATTACAAGCAAGGCTATTCCATTCACTGAAAAAGCCGTCATGTAGGCCTGATGTAGCGGCGCATTCCATACATGCGACTCAAAGAAGCAGCCCGTGGACATCAGGCCATGGAAGCAGGCGACTACTGCTTTGAATCACATGCCTGAACTAATGGCAGTCAGGTCCCGTTGCATCCGTTGGCAATACGATCCAGGCCGATATTCCAATAGTCCATCATCGAAGGCGGCATGCGACAGGCGATGCAGGTCAGCTTGCTTGCATTGTCCTGTCTTGATGCCCGGCAGACAGACCGGGCGTTTCCTTCCGTCTTCAGCCTCAACGTGGGACCGTCGGCGACGCATTCGCTTGGTCGTCCCCCTCACAAAATGATAGCTCACACACCGGCCCGGTTACACGGCGGCGAGCATCATGCCCGCTTACTACCGCCGTTACACGAAATGCACAGTTTTGAGAATAGCTGGGGTAGCACGGCCGTTACCCCCTCTCTCCCCCGGAGTACCGATGAGGGGCTGCTCCACACCTCACCACCGACCCGCCCGTCGGGCCCGGGCCCGGATCGCCGACACGCGCCGCCCCCTTCATGGTCCAGGAGAATTGTACCATACCTAAGCTGCAGAAAGGAGGTCCAGACCGCCGCCACCTCCGCGATTCCCTGCTCACCTCGGCACCATCAGCTAAAAGCTAAGCGAATCGACAATCCTCCCTCATGCAAGCCTCATCACATATCTTCAACGTTTGGGATCGTTCCATTCCAAGTGGCCTGCAGCATGCAGGATGCAAGTTTTCTGGGAACGAATTCGACAAGTGACAGGACCTTTCCGATAAGACACCTAAACCCCTCCCCCAACGTGACAGTTTCCTCCATCCATCCCGCTCTGTCCCTGTACACTCGACTCCAACACATCGATGTCTCCCCTCCCCCCCCTCCATATCCTAGCGGCTTGCCTCGGTTCCAACTTTTTTTTTTTTTATTCCGCCATCCCACCAACATAGAACCATCAGAAATCACTCCCATAAAAGTCGACCGAGAGTACAAGTCTCATTCACCTCCCTTCACCGGTCCCGTCCCGTCCCTAGGCCCCGCCCCTCACCGGTCAGACGAGTCCACCAGCCACGACCGGCCGTTTAGCACAGCCCGCGCCCCAAGACTCAATACAAAGTACCCCAACCACACTCACGAGACGCGCCTGATGCAACCCTCCCCCCTTACCCACACCCTAGAGACGGTTCCAATGACGCTTTTCGGGAGGGTTAGGGATGATAAGTGCCGTCCCATGCCGCCCGCCGCAAAGAGCTGACTAGGTCGAAACCGGCGTTAAAGAGTCGCTGGCACGCCCTTATTCGCTCTGCTCTCGCGCGAGAGCGCGCGCCAGCACCGCTGCCAGTTGCCCGTTGCGCGCCGCACACAGAGGAGGACAAACCAGCCTAGAACACGTCAGATGTGAGTGGGAGGGTATATCACGAGTGCGCGGGCGTCTGTCTGTGAGTTGAGGATAAATTATCCTGCAGGATCTTGCGGGCGACAAGCATCCGGTTGCCTGCATTCGCCTTACTGGTCTCTTGGGTTGCTTACTCTATCCATCACACTTTTTTTTTCTTCTTTTTTTTACTTCCGACGCTGGATGACCCGTCGTCTTTTGGTTGTTACATCGGTACCGGGACGGAGGGAATTTTCCCCACAATCATCCGGCCTGTTATCTCACATGCCGTAGCTCACGGCGTCCTTACGCTGAGGATTGGAAAAACCCCCAATGTCGCACGAATGTCTTGCTTTAGTTCCTCTCTCTGAATCGATGCTGAAATTCTCACGCCGAGGCAAAGGAAGTCTGGAAGGGCGGTGATGGTTCTCTTTTCACTCCATACTGCTCGTCACGCAACCTCTTCCCAAGTGCCACGCGATGGCTCGTCTTCACACCATCAGCCCTACGGCCACGAATGAGGAGAGACGTACAATTCTGCCATCCACTAGCCAGCTTGTAGCATGCCACCGCTACCCTTTGAGCTCCTCACAGCGTGGGATCTGCTCTACGTGTCTGAAACGCCACGATATCGAAGCCATCTCATCACGAATGGGTGTGAAGGGCCGTTTGGTGGCTTATTTTACGATGCGCCGCTTTTATGGTCGACTCCAAGATGCGAGGGCTGGTTTTCAGTGAATTACTTACCGCAACGAGACACCCCTTTTCAGTAAGTTCATGGTTTGACTGACAACTTCGTGTGCTCTTGCAAAGCTCACACCAACCCAGCAGCTTCAAAGTACAAGTAACAAGCCCGTGAACTCCCTACATTGGTTATCAAGTAATTGCTATTCTCAAAAATTTCGTCCAGGATGCTGCTTTGGTTGCTAGCGTGGTGTGATACATGGCCTTGAATTGCACGATCGCTCGGGGACTCTCGCCCCGATCCTTTCCGAGCACAAGTTCATGAGCATTCATATTTTCTGAGGCTATGTTATGCTACGATGGCCAAGTAGCTCACAGTCGTTTTTCCAAGTTGTATTTATCCCCATCATCTGCCGATTGGTTGGCTGCTTGTCTGCAGCGTTGGAACGGCATCGTTGCGGAGCCTCAGCGGACCGCCTGTTCTACTCCTCCTTGTTCTCGGGCTTTCTACCGTAAATGGACATACTGCTCGAGGTTAGCAAATAACAAGCCAGACTCGGAATTTAAACATGCAGCTCACATGGTCATCCAGTAATGAACCTTGGGGTCTCTCATCTCCTTGCGCACTTCCATTGCCAGAACAAGACATTCTTCCTTAGTCCAGTTTAAGGCCCGGGTAAGCGGCGCCATGATGAAGCCCTCAATGTTGGCCGAAAAGTTCTCAAAGTTCCATGCACCGAGTTCCTTGTACTTGGGATCTTTGGGCCACGGGTTACTTGGCCACTTTTCCTCCCGGACGTGGATGTCTTCAAATCCGATTTCGAGCATGATATCCTTGAACAGGCGGATATCCTGAAAGGGGTGACCGAGGATCTCTGCGGCCTGCCGCCATAGATCCAGACATCTTTCGGTTGCGGATTCTTTATTGAGGGAGTCATTGGTAGAATATCCCGTTCCATCGACCTCGATGAGCTCGAGGTATCCTCCAGGGTTCAAATTGCTTCAGATATAAGCTGATATTTCACAAGACCAAGAAATTACAGTGACTCACTCGTAACATCTTTGCAGGTATGTCCTCCAGTCCCCGATAGATGATGTCATCATGCGGCTGTGAATGTAGTCGAATTTTTGAGAGTATATCCACGGCTCTTCGACGTCGTCCACTTCAAATTTGACGTTGGGGGGCGTGCTGCGTAGATTTTTGTTAGCCAATGGTCACCTAAGAAGGCAGGGTATTCATACAAGGCCGGCACAGTAGCGGAGAGGTCAACGCCAATGACCTGTAGTAAGTTGTGAGCCATGCAATCTGCTTGCAATACGGGTGTTGGTCTCTCACCTCAGACTCTGGGTGATCCTCGGCGAACTCTATGGCCCAAATACCGCTACCGGTTCCACAGTCAAGCACACGCCCGACCTTGGCACCGGGATCGTTTGGCGGTGCGAGAGCCAGCCTGTTGTCGAAGGAGCGGACGAACATGTTGTGCTGCAGATCTATGGCGAAGATTATTAGCGGAGGCGAAGCTTTTTGAATGCGTACTTCTCTGCACATCTGACCCAAGAAGCGTCTTACCGAGACGATTGACCTCTCGGTCATCATTGGGATAAATGTATTCTTGCATAAGTCACAACGTGAGTATTTCTGATCTGCATCCGTAAATATAACCAGCGGCAAGAACTCACTGCCTTCTTTGTATGCATGATATGTTCGCCCATTTTCAAGACGATAATTGAGAATCGACTCGGCCACACTGGTAGTTGACGAAGTAAGCTGGCTTACAGATCAGCGCCAAGACCAATAGAAACTATCGGCAATAGACAAAGGTGCTTACGCTTGTAACTTCTGACACTCCGTCATCGGTAACCTACGCCAGTAAATTTTAGCAGACTGGCTTTGCGAAAGCAGATGGAGAAGTCTTTGTTGGCCATACATTATCGTCAGGATCCAGCTCCATTGCTGCGTGGGTCACGACATTGGTCTGGTTGGTTGCTGCCGCCGGCGGAGCTGCGGGTGATGAAGTGGCCAAGGAAGTAGCGACCGCTATATTGGTTACTTCAGACATGATTAGTAAAGAAACAACAATCGATTACCTTTCCCCCTCTTGTCTTTCTTTCTTGTAATATTATGATTTTTGAAAGTGCAACACCGTGACCCTATTTATGTGTAGGTGCACCTCGAACCAACAGAATATACCAAACCTTAGGTCAACGCAAATCCGTTAATATGTCCGTGAGAAACCAACGAACATACCAGCCAACCTAACCAACCCCTTGTTGACCCCTCTCCTTGGCCGTAGTTACCATACGTATGCCAGCGGCAACACCATCTGTTTGTAGAGACCTGCGCCGTAGAGACTCATCTTACTGTGCAGGCGAGACGAGTGCAGAATGCGTGTTGGTGGTCCTCGTATGATTGCGAAATGTTACCTACCACGCTTGGCCTCCGTGAACCGGCAAGCTGCAGCTGCGGTCCATTCTTTTCCTAATTCTCCATGGACAAGAGAATCGGTCGGTTTCGTCTCGTTTGAGCCGCAGACTCTTTATTTCTGTTCCCTTTTTCCGCGGTTAGCCCGCGGCGGGTGACCTAGCATAGTCGTGGAGACGGGACCCTGGCTCCGGATGCGTGATCCTTGATCCCCGGCTGCTCGGGCGGCCCTCGCCCCGGCCCATCACAAATAATAACATGAATGGCCGCCGCCGTCGCCGTTTTACGTACATCCCGGAGAAGCCATCAGCATGCCATCGTTCACGATTCGCAGCTTTGAATTTGCTACTTTATAATTCGTCAGCGCTTCGGTGAGCTAGTTCCCTCCATGCTTGGGCTAGTTGGCGAAAGTTACAATTAATGATTTCTACCAAGAGCTCAGGTGTATTAATCGGGAGAAATAAGATGTGTGGGAATTCTGCCCACAGGTCCCTAAATGGTTCAGTATGAGCAACAGTTCGTCTATCAATATTTACTTCCAACAGTGTCACGATGGATTCTCTACTAAACCACACAGTCCTTGGTAAATTAGCATCGAAACTGCTATTGATGTATCCATGCATGCGCAAGCTGTACTTACCTCTCAAGACAGCGTACATAATTACCATTGGCCCAATCCATCTGGTCAAGCCTATTAGGTCCAAGCCAGTCAGAACCTTAAGAACAGCAACCGCTTAAACTCGCCGATCGACTTCCCAACTGTCGACAGGATATACGTATCACCAGTGTAATATAATATTAGCAAGTACTCAATCTTACAACCTGCCCGCGACGCCTAGACGACATCGAAATCTATGCTGTCTCTACGTCTGCGGTGGGTCCTCATCCGTCTGATGGCAGACAATCGGTTCACAGAGGACCGTACCTGAAAGGAAAATCTACGCCATGATAAGCCCGTGCAGTAACTTTGTGCCTCGTCCTTGGCAACTGAAAGATGGCGTTATGCCAGGAAGTTCAGGCATACTCTTATCGAACCAACCACACACTCCGCGCTCGTAGAGCAGGCATAATGACAAGCGTCAGTTTTTGTGTCCTTGACATCGACCGCAATGTGTTCGGATGGGCTGTGATGGAGCCCCGTGTGGTCCTCGCAACTCTGTGTTCTGATACTTGGTCGATCCTTCATGCAATGATTGCCAGCTACTTCCTATGGGTTGTTCCATTTGATTCTATTTCCAGTGGCAATCAACCACATTTCGAAGATGTGGAAGTGATTAGCTGAACCGTCTCAGAAGCTCCCCGGTCGCGGAGCAGCTCTTTATCCGTTCCCCAATAGCCCATCCAGAACCCGTGTTTTACTTTGACGCCCCCTCCTTGACCAGAGTCAATATTATACATGTCAGGGCAAACATGCAGGAGCAAAGGAGATGGACGAGCGTGGTCGTATCTGCCGCAAATCTCACCCCGCAGCAAACTTCATTTGCAGGAGGAACTTTCCACAAACTCTTGAGCGAGGGGAAGAGTCATGTAGGACGCAATGTGCAGGCGCCCGACTCGAGGGTTCAGTCACAACTCAGATCTGCAATCAAGCGGGCGAAATCCATGTGACCCAATCAGCGCCGAACCACCGTTCCCTACCGAGCAAGCTACCTTACAGAAAGCCAGTCCGATACATGACTTGGAATGCCCACGTCTCGTTCGAGTTCGAGCATGTGAAGGACCAAATCGGACCCAACTCCGATACGCTGACAAGCTTCCACCTCCCTCATTGTTTGTTATGGAAAAGAAAAGTACCTCACATACCCTAGAAGTCATCGCTCTAGTTTGCTCTATTTGAAAGCTCCGCATGATACGAGCGGGCTCTCTAACCAGATGCGTCGTCTGGCAAGACCCGTCGAGTAGCGGGGGGTCCTTGAGCACTAGACGAGCCCCAGTTTGCAACGCAGTACAAAAAGTACCAATCCTCGATAGTCTAGTGGTGAGGATATCGGCTTGTCAAACAGACAATACGCCGGGGACCGGGGTTCAATTCCCCGTCGAGGAGTTTCTCTTTTGCAGTTTTCTGTCTTTTCTTTTTTGGGTTTGTCAATTTTTCCTCGATCGTGAGATACTGCAGAATAGTCATCCAGTTGCAGAAAACATGCTGGAGCGGTCATAAACCCTGCAAAGCAGCAACCGAGTTACAGTGCAAACGCAACTACAGTATGCTAGCAGCGTGTTTCGGGCACATCACATAAACACAAAACAGTTAATTAAATATACTTCAATGTTTATAACTAAAAAAAAAAAAAATTAAAAGAGGATCACCCGCTAAACAGCACGCGACACAATACAAACACGCCCGAACCAACATGTAAATGACAAAAATAAAAATAAATACGGAGAGCACGAAACGGCAGAAAATTCCAACCCGCCAAGACTGGAGACACACAATAACGCAAGGCAAGGGGCCTCCCCCCAAATCCACTTTTACGTCCCATCCCGTTTCCATGCTTCCCAATTAACCGATAGACTCCTGGGCCGTCGCGTGGAATGGATTATCCGGGGTAAGGCGAAAAAGAAGAATTAACACAGCAGATAAACGGAATGATGCACACACTGTAAGGGGCCGCCCAAAAGAAAAAAAAAAAAGAAAAAAAGGAGGCCACTCACTCCAGGGATGTATGGTCCTTGATACCACAACATACAGCCCATCACTGGAATGGAGGAAAAACAGAATAAGAAAAAAAAAACAAAAAAACCACCACGTCCAAACGGCGCCGCGCCGTACCGCACCGCACCGCAAAAAAGGGCGGCGACGCAGCTAACCAAACGTGGGGCTGTTCCGAACGCGGGCTGACGCTTGCTATGCGTGACCGAACCCCCCCCCCCCCCCCCCAATATCGACTTGCAAGCCATACACACACACATACACATACCACACACACATACAGTCTCTCTTGCACTTGTTCCTATTCCCCATTCATCCAGAGAAGGGTTTCTGTTTGGGGAAGGAGGTTCCAGCTCGGGTTGCAACCCAAAACCCACATTTGACCGCCCGGCTTTACCTTTCTACCGGGAATGGGATCGTCACGTTGCCACATCTTCACAAAGTCATCGAGGCCTCTCACACATACACTCACATACACACAAAATCAACACAAACCCGCATCGTACGCATCGAATGGTGGGTCAGCAACAGTATTCAGTGACAGCATAAAGCACCAACTCCTTTCTTGGCCTAGATATTCCCTTAAGGGGGTATGTTCGCTCCCACATTCCCTCACAATGTGAGAAACACACAAATGAAAACGTAAAGAGATATCGGGGAAAAAGAGAAATAAATGTAAAAAAAAAAAAAAAAAAAAAGTAGAAACCACGTTAAAAATGGAAACAATAGAGAACGCCAGACCCGTCAACGAGGAGAGCATACCCTTCGCCAGGACAGCCCTCCCAAAAATAAAAATAAAAATATAAACCACCACCGCCCCCGGTACCACAACAACCTCCCGTGTTCCAAAACCCGTTGACATGTGTGATGCTAAGGACCCCTTTCCCCGTCTTGATGCCGAGCAAAAACCCCCCGTTGAATGCGTACCCATGACACTTGTGTGTCCTTGTGCGAGAGACGGAACAGATGCAGCCATGCCTCCCATGCTACCCAGCCGCGCGACCTTGGCCTGAGACCCAATGGAGGATGAGACGTTGCTAGACTGCGTTGCTTTACTTTGACTTGATTTGCTTTCTCGCGCCCCTCCTCTCTCTTTCTCTCTCTTCCCCACCTCTCTCCCGTATTCGCCCTCTTTTAATCCGTGCCTTTTATGACCCAAACATGTGTTGCGCGCGTAAGCAAAGTGCCCACTCTCCAGAGAAGAGAGTTTTGGTTTTTTTTTTTGCTGTCAGATCAACTTAATCCATTCGCTGTCTTCTGTGCTTTTGGGCAATTTTCTCTTTTTTGGTCGACTCATGCCATGCTCCCGAAATCCCAACACACGCTCCCTCCTTACGCATCAATTGCTAATCGCTGTGCCAGTGAATATCCCTTTTGCCCTCGCGAGATTCTTTGTCTCCTAGTCCCTTTGCCCAGATCCCGAGCATGCTTCGCAAAAGGCATCGCAAAACGTATCGAACCCACAAACTCCGTCCTCGAGTTGTTGGCGCAGGGTATCCATAGTCCGCAGGGACGTGAGACTAGATTCCCCGAAGCTCGTCTACCATAGTAAATATCCCATCCACGCGCCATGCTGAATGAAAGAAAGGAAAACCAGCCCGGCGCCATTGTCAAACAGAAATTAATAAAAAAGAAATTGAAACGAGAGTTAAAGAGTTACTTTCAAACATGATTTTGCATGAATTTCGACCACGCCGCGTCTTTGTACCGAAGTCGCCATGGGATGAACGCCTACTGATGCTTATCTCCCGAACTCCTGAGAGCCTGGACGAAGAGAAATTCGCACGACTCCGGCGTCAAGTGCCGCGACTGCAAGTTTAGAGAAAGGCCTGTTACTCAAGGCCAGGAAAGGGGGAATCGTGTAAATCAATGAAAATGACAAAAAACGAAAAACAACCGAAACCGGGAAATCAAATGCCAATGCAAATGCGTGTGCGCCAAGCATGATAAACAGCGCTACGGACTCAGGGAGCCATCCCCTGAGTCTTCATGGGAAGTGTTGGAAGCATCCCGAATCAACCGGTAGCCTTTGTTGAAGCTGTTCAAATGGCTTATGAATCGTCCCGTAGCCGTGTATTCATGCCGAAACACCGTGACGCCATGAGTCTTTCGCCAAAATGCGCATCAATGCCTCGAACAAATCCGGCTTTGTTCTCTTAGAAGCCTACCTTCCCAGCATGTGTGGGGGCAGATAGTTCGAGTTGTTGCCGTTCATCAAAGAACCGGGCCCGCCGGCCGTCATGGCACCGCCGTATCCATTCCAGACGTTGTTGTTGCCACTAGCCGGAAACCCTGCGACAGTGTAAGACTGCGGGGTTGAGCCACCGTTGTAACGACCGGCGCCGAGTCCTGGAGGAGCAGCAAGTCCGGGAGGAGGTCCATTGGCGGTCTTGAACCCGTTCGTGGATCCTGTCATCATTCCGCCCATCGGGGATGTCGTTTGGCCAGGGGTCTGGCCGGATCGAACGCCGAGGGGGTTCTTCGAAAAGCTCAGGCGAATCCCGCCCTTGACGCTGTTGTGAAGTGGGTGCCCGTAGAGTTCGTGGAGGGCCTTCGTAGCGAAAGATACATCCTCGAATTCCACGAAACACATGGGCCCGTTTTGCTTCGTCCGGAAGCAAAGACGCTTGTATCCACGCTGCTTGGAGAACATAGCCTTCAGTTCTTCCTCCGAGGTGTCGATAGGCAGATTGCCGACGTACAGAGTATTGCACGGCGGGTTCTGGTCGGCAGGGTTGACAGGCGGGAAGTTGTGACGAGCGTACGGGTGACTACCTGCCATGTGGAAGGGTACCCCATGTGGACCGCCGCCCATAACGGTGGGCGACATGGCGGCCGGGTGAGCCGACATCGCTCCTATCCCTTGCTGACCGTACTGCGGAAGCGAAGATGGTCCAGATGATGCGTTGGTGTTGAGAGATAGGCTGGCTAGACGCGAGATTGGTAGTTGCGGGGCGGTGGCCCTCCTCTGAGCCGTCGCACCATTTTCCGCATAGGCAACTGGGTCCTTCAGCAGCTCGCCTGTGTCGTCATCGTCAGCGGCATCATCGTTGATTACCGACTTTCCTGTGACACGGGTTCGTTCGGAGAGATGGTTTCCAATAGGTGACTGTGGAGAGAAGAGATTCTGGTAGTGTGCACTGGACTCGGGGTTTGGCAGCTCGCTTGAGCCATAGATGCCATTCAAAGGCGGCGAAATCTTCTCGAGTGATTGGAAGGCACCGTTGAACCGTGATGGCTGTCGCGAGGTCGGCGCTGAGGACGTAGCTGAGGAGGCTGTACTCGAAGATCCGGTTCCCGCGGGCTCGGCATATCTCCTCGACGTGGCCGGGCTTCCTCCCAGGATCTCGACAATCATGTTGGCGTCATTGGAAATGTTGGATTTCCCGTCTAGCATATTTTTTGCCTCGATCGCGCCGTTCGCAGTCCTAAACTTCAAGATAGCTGATCGGAAGCCCTTGTCCTCCGACTGATCAACGGGGAGAACCTCAACATCCACCAATTCCTTAGACCAAACAACCATAAGACGGAGCGATTCTTCGGAGGTGTTCAGCGGGAGCCGGCGAATTAAAACAGACGAGACAGCTGGACCTGCGTTGGCGAACGGAGTGCCTACGGGCTTGGTCGCATCGCGCTCGAAGGGATTGACGGAGAGGAATGAGGGTTGACCGTTGGACGGCCTGAAAGGTTGCGATTGTTGTAGAAAAGCCGGTGCGGCCATGGCAGTTTTGGTTGCTGTGGTTGTCGGCGGGAAAGGACTGGCGCGACTCGATGTCATCTCAGAAAAACTCGGGTTATGGCCGATGAGGTTGTAGATGCGCCTGGTTCACCTTTACTCGCCGGTCATCCGCCGGTGGTTCGGTGCATGCGCTGACGCGTGGTTCCGTGGGGATTGCGTTGGGATTGCGATGGAGAGATGCGACGATCACGCTGATCAGGTGGGCAACTGCTCAGGTACGCGAGGGAAGGAATGCGGATGATGGGCCAAGACGCGCTCAATATTGCCGGGTGTTGGTGACTGTTTCTGACGGGCGACAAGACACAGGTCGACAAAAGAATGCAGCCTGCTACAAAGGGCGATGTGGAAAGTTGGGGGGGGGGGGGCTGGAGTTGGTTTTGGTGGAGGGTGAAGGGAGAAGGAGCGTGCGGGTAGTGCAAGACGAGCTGTCGCAAGGTTATGTATCGTGCCTTAGAGTTCGGAGACGAGGAGGGAAAAGGGCAGGGTACCAAGGTAGCGCGAGGTAATGGTGGTACTGATGGTAGGAGGATGTCAAGACGAGGTGTGTGTTGGTGGGAAGTGTGCGAGGGTGAGGGAAGACCAGAAGGAATGGTGTATGGTGTGCGCGCGCGCCTTGATGGGTTGGGTTGGGTGCGCCGCGGTGCGGTGCGGTGCGTCAAGACAGGAGAGGACGGACGGCTGGCCTGCTTCTGTCAAGGAGCATGGGGGACCAGCAGCGCATTTGCGGGTGTGGATGCTGGGCTGCTGGTTGCGTTCGAGAGTCGGGTCGGTTCTGGGACTGGGATAGGGGGGACTGGGACTTGGGTACCGGCGCGCGGTAGGTATGCAGCAGATGGCAGGCTAGAGCAGGTCGACTTGCCGGGGCCCCTCGAAGCTTGATGGTGACAGGTACCCAATGGGACTACAGCCACGGGTGGGTGACTCGAGAGTGGGAAGGCCAGGCGGCGACCGAGGTAATTTTGACAAGACTGTTCGGAATCTTTGGATTCAAGACGAAGGCGGCTAGAGAGCACAGGCTGAAGATGCCGTTGCGTGAACGTGGATGGTCACGGCAAGGGGATAAAAACAGGCGGAAGCGCGGAAGGATGTTGCAGGACGGCGTCGATGTCGTCGACTTATCGTGGGGTCCCAGCAGGACGCAGTCCAAGGCAAAGTCGGACTGGATAGGTCAGGTACTTTGAGGGGAACCCAAAGTTGTTGCAGGGCGATTGGGGGTGAGTAGCACTGGATAACGAGGGAGACGTAATGTACCAGCAAAGCTGGAAGAGGGTGTGTGGAAACAAAGTCGGTGGTCCCAGGTTGTGGTGCCTGCTGGGCCGGGGGGCGTCGACGGTGTGTCCCTTGGGGTGGTGGCCCTTGTTCGAGGGTTGGAGTCTGGGTCAGTCCAGTCACGGTTGGGCTTGACTTTGGGGGGAGTGGAAGTGGAGAGGGACGAGGGACAAGGGATAATGTGCTGTGGAGTGTGAATTGCGCTCTGCCGCTGCTGGAGTCTTCGGAGAGCGACGTATCGTACCAATCAGAGGCTGATCGCGTAAGGTTGAAGAGCATTCGGTGCAGACTAAAGCAGTGCTAAGGCATATAAATGTAATGTGTATACTTTTTTCATGTACCTTGCCTGGGGACAGATGCGACCACCTCGATGAAGTTTCCTGTGTGTAAGTAGCAAGCTCACAGCAGCTCCTCAAGAATGACGATTGCGCTATCTGTACTTTTGGATAACAGAGCCTTCCGTCCTTCGTCGTGAGGGGGGTCGTTGCCAGGTGGCTATCGAAGTCGTTCCCTTCAACGTGTTTGATATGGAAGAAATTGACGAATGATGTTGGTAACCTCCTGTCAGTGGCGCCCGCTTTAAGTTGAGCTGGTGTGGGTGGGCTGTGGTGTTGTTGCGTCTGTGTTCACAAGGGAGGGAAGGGAGGAGAAGGGGACCAGCGGCAACAGTAGTAGCGCCAACAGGAAGCAGGTTTGGGGAGGAAGTACGGATACCGTGCTTGGTGTTAGGCCGTGGACATCGAGGTGGTGGTGGTGGTGCTGCTGCTGCTACTGCTGCTGCTGTTGTTGCTGTTGCTCCTGCTGGTGGCCTGCGGTAGTGGTGATGCTGGCAGTCTCTGGGACAGGGGGGTAAGGGAAATGATGGGAATTGAAAGACAAAACAACCTGGGCGGTGGAAAGTAGGTTAGCGGGTGAGCAGGAGAGACAAGAGAAGAGGAGGGCCCCTGCCGGTACCTCTTCCTACTAGGCCAGATTCCTTGGTGGCACAGCCTCTGGAGGGGACAACGGCGTCGGGGAAGAGAGCGGATTGGCTGCGGATGGTGTTAGTAGTGTGACCGGGCTCAGGGGTCTTGTAGACTTTCGGCGATCGTTGGCACCGTTTGAGGGCTGGTGCTTGCCGGGGAGGCGCGTGTGTCTCTCTGTATGGCAGTCTGGCAGTCTGGCAACCTGTACGACGGGGGGGTGGTGGGTGAGAGAATGGCTGTGTGTATCTACCTGCGTGTGTATGTGTGTATTAGTGCGTAAGGACGTGCAGACAAAGAGAGAGGCTCATTCGCTTTCTCCTATCCGTTCCCTTGAGTGCTCTTACCACTTTTTTTTCTTTTTTTCTACGACCTCACTGGATGGTGGGTGATTGTGACAGACTGGCTGTACGTACAGATAGTAGTAGCCGGCGGGACGTGTCCCGGGAAAGCTCGCAAGGTCCCAGGTCGGTCTGTGAGTGGTTGCAGTTGGGGCCCGAGAGAGCAGGGACGGGCACGGATGGGCAGAATGGGCTGGATGGGAAAGGCCAACCCAAGGTGATTGCCCTCTGCCCAGTAACGCCTCATCAGTGTCGCACTCTGTCTGCCGTGCCGTACTAACACGGCGTTTCTCGCCAATCTGAGTTCAGGGAGGCCATTTAGAGTGGAGACGACCCTTTCGAAACAAGAAAAGAAGGAACTACAGAGATAGCATGCACACCTCTTCTTCTTCTTCTCCTTCTTTCTTTCTTATTTCTCCAAATTCCCCCTTCCCTACCTTCGAAGGCACTTGGCGGGTAAGAGGAAGCGACTGCCCTGTACCCCCATATTGCACCTTTCGTTCGGAGGGCGCCTATCTGTGCCACTATCCATACTGCATAAGTACCGCCTGTGATGTTTCCTTGCTTTTTCAGCTTGCAGGACGCACTCGTCGAGGGGAGGAGTGCACGTGGGTGCAACAGGCGTAGTTTGATAAGGCAGGACTTCTCCTGTCAAGCCATACTATTATCTGAGGGTCGGTCACGAAGTGTGCAACAGTAACAATGCCTGCGCCTTGCATCCCCGGGTAAGAAGGATTAAAAATTAAATAAGATAAAATGTTAAAAGGGAGAAAATAACATCTCTTAGTCTTTGGCGCATTCTGCCCTGCCCTGTCCGTTGTCTACTGCAGAGTAAGCTGCCGCTGAAACTTGAGAGGATTGAGACGGGGTCATTGCATCGAGCTAGAAAAGCGTACATCTTTCTACGACACATTGAAGTGGTTAAGTACGTAGTCGGCAAGAGTGTTCCGCTGCCTACCTGAGGTACATGTCCGACATTAGAAAGGGATAGATAGCCCTCTAGATTTTGCACTCTGCAAACACAGTCATGCCCAGATGACAAGTTCTAGGGGCCCCTCGACAGATCTGTCGGCCCTGATCTACCACGCGAGACCACAGACCAGACGAGGCCATGTGCCCGTCACGCCAGAGCCGATACGTATTGACGTACACACGACTGACGGCGCCAGACACCGTCTCCACCCTTGGGCAAGGAACAACGACGTCCGGGAAGCAAGGGACTAGACCAGACCAGCCAGATCCTTTGGTCGTGCTGAATGAAAGTGGGAGGAATAATACAGTATTTGGCCACCCTTTTTTTTCTTTTTTTCTTTTATGGCTTGCAGATCAGCAGAGATTGTTGGAAATGTCCTCCGGCCGAGAACTAGCCCTGCTGTGCCCTCCTATCCCATCAACTCAGTCGCTCAGCTGTCTAATGCAACAGTAATATCATGGATCGTCATCGTGCAGTTCGTGATGACGGGGTAATGAGCCGTGTGGAGTTGAGCCGCGAGCTGGTCTGTCAGAATAAGTCGGAGTGGATAGCACCGTGATCCTCGCAGCTCGACTGCCAAAATCCCTGGACTCTTTTTGGAAACGACAGTCGAACCCCTTGTTTGAGTTCGATGAAGGCAGACTGTGCCTCCTCCTCAGGAGAAGGGAGAGAAGGGGGAAAAAAAAAACAGACATATGCTAAGGCTTATCCAACGAGACGAGGTAGGTCTTCCGCCGGCACTCACTGCTGCATGACCCAAGTCGCCAGTTTTCTTTCAGAATGCCGGCAGTCGAGTTCGCACTTTTTCCTGTGGTGGCTGTGAGATCTGAAACCTACAATCTGTCACATCATCTGCAGGCAGGTAACGAGCATACCGATGATACGATAAAATCTGCAAAGGAAGCTCTGCATGTTGGAGAATGAGGTCGAATCAGACGGATTCTGGTTGGTGGGCTGAATCTGTCAATCGGTTGTCGTTACTCTGTGTAGCGCAATGGGATGAGTGCTGCCGTTAAGAGAGGCGAGTGATGGCTGCACAGCTCAGGGAATGGTATGTGTCGATGGAAGGGAAGAAGGGTGGAAGGGCAGCTGCAACGGCTAACAGGGTGCTCTTACTTCATTATCCTGAGATCATCATCCTTGCTTTTTGCGTCGACCAGGGAGTTTGCACTTTCTTTTCTCGAAGCAAATAATTGCGTGCTTGCCTCGATAATCAAGCAAGCAAGGGAAGGCGGTGCATTTCTTCGTGCCACCTACTTTACCACGTACTTAACTTTCCTCATCCATACATCGAAGGTAAGGTGCAATGGGGCAGGGCTTGTCTGGTTCCTCCAGGAGTGAGTGAGCATGCATCTAGGAAGGGAAAGGGCGGCCGAAACTGTGTCTGCCTGCTCGGAGACATCAACATCACTCACCTCCCAGCTGTGTGTATGCTGCACCGGCAAGAATGGCCAGTCATGATACGCTAAGGTCATCGACTCGCAGACCAGTCAT